ACAAAAGGTAAAAACGAAGGATGAGTTTGCTTTTCCTGTTACCAGCACTTCTCAAACTCTATGGGCGAAATTGTTGCTCTTCCCCATCCCAAGGAAATGTTTTCTGCATGTGATTGAAAAAATGACATTGTATGCCTCAAGTCAGTCTCTAGCTCTCTTCAATGACAATATACTCCAGCTGCAGTTTTCTCTTTCCCCTTGTGCAATTCCTTGCTCTTTTTCCACACTCCCCCTCTTCCTATTCTTTTTCTCCTGCTTTCCTCCCTCAGGCTGTCCTCTCCTGCACTATTGTCTACATTCTTGCCTTCACCTATCCCAGTCTTTGTTTTCAACTTCCAGCTCGCTCTTTCCCCTTTCAGGCTTCTTAAAAAAAAAAAAAAAAAAAAAATCAACGTTTTTTTTTCTGCAGTCAAGCTGCTGAATTGGCTAATGCCATTAGTACCTTCATCACTGATGCAACTGCCTAGTGCAACTCAGCCTAAAATCAGAATAAGCAACAGAATTCTGCACCCCTAGCATAAGCAAACACAAAATACAGCTGCTGAGGTAAATCCTAGCAAGTCACCTCCATACTATTTATTTTTTTGTAAAAAGAACAACAATAACAAATTATGACTTACCTGTATAATCTGTTCTTGAAAACCTGCACACAACTTCGGTTTTATCATTGGAAACTTTTACTTAGCGAACTAAATTGACAGCAGTGAGACCCTCTAGAGGTCTCTAGAGTTAATTCGGACTTCCTCCTTCTTCATTCCCTTCTCACCCCTCATCTTTCTCATATGAAAAAGGAGAATTTTCAGACTCAGACATCTCAACTGCAGTGCCTCCACACTGCCGATGAGGTGGTATTTTATAGCAGGGTTCAAAACAAAGCAACGCAGCTTGGAATAAGATATATACATTAACACAGGACAGCCAAGCATGCCTACGCATCAAGTGCAGCTGCTGTGCATGGGCACAGCTTTAGAACTCTGCAGTGTCTTCTCCTCTGGGGGCCACACAATCCACAGACAATGGTGACAAGGGCTCCAGGTTCAATTTAACTCACAGCATTTAGTCCTGCACGCAGGGCTCTTCTTTGCTTTGGCACTACACACACAAATCTTTAAACTTACCTCCTCTGAACATGCAGAGAATGCCTCTTCCTGCCTAGGAGTATCGTACTGTTCACACAAACAGCTACAGGGATCTCCCAGGCCAGGTAATTCTTGGTAACAATTCTAAACACGTACTAGACCAAGGATCACATAACTTGAAGGTACTTTTTGCACCACTCTGGTTATGGTTAAGGCCTTTCTTTTCAGCGGATGAAACTGAATTACTGGGTTTTGGGGACATCTCGTCGTAAAAATCTATGCAATAGATCATTATGCAATACTACTTTTTAACAATGCCTTTTCAGGGCTTCACTTGGTCATATGGGAGAGCAACAAATCAAATATGTCAAACCTCTTCTATTCCACTGATATCACTGCTGCATTTAGTAAACATATGACAGGAAACAGGCTGTGTCTAAAATTGCTGTGGCATTTCCAAAGGAGCCAAATTTATCCTGTGTGACTTCAATGGAGTCAACACAGTTGCACCAGGAAGGAGCGTGGCCCACAGTTTTCACTTTGGTCACATACCTCCTCTCATTGTGAAGGACACCCAGGAACAAAGATAAAAATAACCTAATACAAATCAGGGAAACAGTCACATGTCAGTGAAGAAGGAAGCAATAATTGTGATGGGTGACTCATTCTAGGGCATCAGGTACAGGGGACCCCTACACAGTAACATACAGGGTCAGCCACGTGACTGCTCCCTGCAGACTGATGCTGTGCATCAGACAAGCCTTTCACGTCCACTAACAACACTGGATTAAACACACAACCGCACCGCGATGCAGCCAACAGTTTCTCTTGAGCGATACTTGGTCTTGTTACACGAGTGCAGCACTAATTTTAAAAAAAGGTCAACTATACCTTGCCCTTTTGTTGCACTTTCCTTTCAAGAAGTGGTGTGTGCATGCATGATACTTCTTAATACTGACCTAAAACACAGTCAGGGGTCTGAACAGCAGAGAACAGCTACTATTTGTGGCAATGATCTGCCTTTGTTTCAGTGTAATTATTTTTCAGGCTGTCCATTTTGACCTTGATAGCCACCCATATGCAGCTGTGGTACTGAATCCTGTTTCTCTTTATGCACACTTTAGGTGGGTGACAGCGCCATGGAAGATTAACAAGCAAGGTATGTGTTTATTAGTTGAAGCCATGCACTTGTGAAGACAAACTTGTTGAAATACAGATACAGAATTTGCTTCCTTTGCTTGTAAGAAAACTTCTCCCACAGACAGGTTTAGTAGGTAAAACAACACGTAGGCATCTTTAAAATTTCCAATTCCATATGAGCTTTTAAATCAAGAAAATCAGGTTACTCTATTTTGACCTTTCCTGATCCCTTCTCTACATCAGTTTCTAGCCATAACAGGTATCCATTTTAACTTACACTACCTTCCTTTTTTTAAAATCCTTTCTTATCGCCTGTCTGGTAACCTATGTTCAAAGAGCTAATGTCAGTGTGACAGCTCGACTGAGCCTTCTGACCTATTGCCTGCTCCCTCAGAAATACCCCTCATGCTTTCCAAAGGGAAGAATTTTTTTTTTTTTTCCTTCTCCCAGGAGATCTCACTGTCTCTGCTGACCTGTGTTGGCCTTGCATCTAAGATGCCCAACCAGCTAATATTGCCTTCTATGAAAGCACTTCAAAGCTCCAGGCCCTGCCCCTCGAGTCATGCAAGTGAACATATGCAGCAACACAGCGGTGCAGCTGCTTGCACATGCACAGTAAATCTAATGCTGTACACAGAAATGGACTTATTATGCATATATGCAGGTAAAAACTCCTGCTGCTCCAGCCCTCCTGAGGGCAGGCAGGAAGAAGACAGACAGATACATTGCTGCAGCAGGTCACGCACAGCCCAAAGCCCACAGGTTGCACACACCCTGCATTAAAAAAAAAGAGCCGTAATGAGTTGCGATCAAGTCATCCTCAGGAAATACTGTTCTCTGTGCAGCGTCTGTCACACAAGCTAGTTACACAAATTTTTCTGCACTAGCATAAATGCGTTAGTGGTTCACCTACCGTGCCTTCTCTAGAAGAGGATAAACAGCCTAATGCACCCCAGTCTGTACTGGGCTGGGAGAATGAATGTGCCGTCATCCAAGCCACTTGAGAATTCCTGTGCACGTCTTGCTTTTACTGCACTTGGGACAGACAGTGACCAGCAAAGAGCTAAGCAGATTATACTTGGCAAGCACTTCAACTGCTTAAATAGATGAAAACGGGTATAGCATAAAGTCAAACAAAGCTGAAAAATTACAGTCACTATGAAAGTAAGTTCCTGGTGTGCGTTTTGTTCACAATAAAGTTAAATCAACTGTAGCTCAAAACATCATAACAAAATCCAAAGTTCAGTTTTCAGAGATGTCATCACATGGAATCATCTAAAGGCATTAAAATATCCATGTGTAATCTGGTTTCTTTTAAAAGTCTCTTTATAAATTCCAACTCTGCCACTGAAAGCACATGTATTCTGCTCATACAGCACTATTTGAATCTACAGCCCCCACATGGAGGGACTAAAAAGAAGTCTGAAAGAGACTTCTGTTTCATTTTAAGGTTTGCCATTTTAGCCCATCTAAAGACAAATTAGTGGACAACAAAGTACCTCTGATTCAGGCATATCAGGATCATCATATAATTTAGGCCTGAGATATCTAAGCAATGGTTTTCCCTTATGTGGCATATATGAGCAGATAGAAATTTCATTTATCGAAAAAAAAAAAAAGATGACAAGGAGGAGAGGCCTTCTCTCAAAGATATCATTATATCTACTCATAAAACATTTAGTGGCAAGTGCAGTTTTAGAAGCAAAGTTTGAGAGATGTAAATATCATCATCATCATCTTGAAAACCATTTTTTCACACTGCAATAGCACTTACAGAATCCATCTTGCTATGCGCTAAGCAAGCATATATCAAAACCATGGAAGATTTGTACAGAAGGGTTTTTACACCACAACTACATATTGGGAGTTTTAAGACAATTGGCATCCTGTGCTTCCATCCACCATTAAAAAGGGGGAAAATACACTTCAAATAACATACTCACTTCAGAGACAAAGTTATATACATGCTTTATTTTGTTCCTCATAACAATCCTCTGCTTTTGCGCCTACATTTTGTAACACATGGTCCCATGTGTGTGTATATACATATATAAAAAAAATTTAGTCCTTATTCTGTTTTGTCTGTTGACTACTAAAATTTCCTACAGCACTGATGCATAGCTGTTAATTATGTACCTTAAAGTATTTTTATTTGGAATGGAAATGCTTCAACAAGATTTCTTTTCCTCATTTTCAAAATAAGGTGGTGGTAAATCAGGTTATCTGTCCAAGTCACTAACAGCCAGCAGTAACACCCAGATCTCCTGCCTGAAAGGCCTGTGACTCTAGCCCTATCATCAGGCTTCCAGGGGTGCTTAAACAATTAGAGCAGGGGTGGGTGGCTGGGAGGGAAGTCATCCATGGCCTTTCCACCAACTGTGAAGGATGGAAAGATTAGGATCTAAAGCAATGATCGGAGCAAATCCCACAAATCTATAATTTCCATTTTACAATTCCTCAGCACTGCTAAGAGACAGGTGCTCAGTAGCTTTCAGAAGAAGCAGCACAATACAGCACAAATCCTGTTTTAAAGTAGAAGCACTGTAATGGCAACCTATTTACTTCAGGGTTTTTAGAACTTTAAAGTAATCTCCTTTTGCACTCATCTAAACTCTTTACTTCTGCATTTCTAACTCTTCACTTTCCTGCTTTCCCAGCTCCACAAAGGCTGCCTAAAACAAAAAGAGAAGACACTAGGCACTTTGCGCTGTTCCTGACAACTTTTCTTCCTTCCTGCACTCCTAAAAACCTCTGATTTGTGCCCTCTGCTTTCTTGTTGCCATGGAGAAGGTCCAATACATAACCCGCTCTGCCCTGAGGAGAGCCTCAACTATTGAGGTCAACCCACAAGCACGCCAAAGGCTCCAAGAGCTCTTTGTGAATTTCTGCCTGATCTTAATTTGCCTCTTGCTGATCTGTATCATTGTGATGCTCCTCTGAAGTTCCAGCACTTCTCTGCACTGCCCTCTAGGAAAGTCACCCAAAAGGGAAGAGAGACCTACACCTGCAACTCCCAATGCAAGGATCCTCTTGTGAGAGGGGCTAGCACTTGGACTAGAGCTGTGTGCCAACCATCACACAATTCTCTTTCTACCTACCATGTATTAAAACCACACTTCTGTGCAGAACAGTGTTTAGAGCCTGTTGTTACAAAGCTGTGCATAACCTAATTGCGTCTGTCTCAGTCAAGAGATGTCTTTTCAGAATGGGGTAAATATCTGCCTCTTCATGGAGCTGGTAAGTTCCTCAATGTTTTAGCTAGATGACACAAACAGCAACTTCACTTTTTGGAGGCCTGAGTGTTTTTAAGTTTCTCAGAAAATCCTTAAGCCATTACAGGGGTTCTAAATTCAGTCCACATCCACCCAAAGAATACCTACAGGCACACAGCCCTCAACGCATGGCAGGAAGACTTCTGCTCTGCTTATTTCAAGGTGCTCATCTCTGTATTATCAACTGAAGGCATTCAAATGGTTTTAGTGTTTTTAAGGGAATATGAGAATAAACCAAAACCAAGTCTTCTAACCCAGAAATAAAAACTATTTCATATGCTTTTCTCCCAGTTTAAGGGATCTTGTGTGTATATATACACATACACACATACCTATGTGTGTATGTGTACATATACACACACCCACAACTTGGATCTGAAAGAAAAAAGGCAACTTCATTCACTGTATTTTTCACTAGATGCATCCTTACAGAACTAAATGACATCTGGAAAGTTTTTTCACTGTGTTTTGCAGAAAAATTGACACTATCACACCAGTATTTAAAGACAGCCTCTGTCATTTGTGTGCCCAGCCCAGCCCAAACCATGGCACAAAGATTTAATTTTCTATAGTCATTTAACTGGCATGACAGTGCACACAACTCAAAAGTCAAAAATAGTTTTCTGAGTTCTTATTATTTGGCTTCAGACAACTTTATTGTGGCCTGTTGTAATTTATGCAATAATCTCAGTTTAAAACCACAGAAGACTTGGTATTTGCCAATGTCAGTCAAGGTGGTTTACCTCTGATGTGGTAAAGAGAAAGGTTAAGGTCTCCCTTACTGCTGCGATTGAAGTGTATCATACAAATGCAAGTGACACCACCACCTTCAACTGCAAATGCCTCTTAGAGAACAAGCAAGTGTTTTCCTAAATTAAATAATACATAGAAAAGAAAATAAATTATAAACAATTGTGCACAGGAGGGAAAGCACTGCAGAAATATCTTTTCAACATTTAAACCACAGTCTATACACATAAATGATGAAGTTTCTACTACAGCAGTTGTCAGTAACAAGACTGAGCAGTAGACTTCCAACCCTCCCATGTGTTGCTGGTATTAAGCTAAATTCCTAGAAAATTTATATGGTTTTCAAATTTAAGAAAGCTCAAGAATCAACAGACAGAGGTCAAACAGGCATTTATTTTTTAAGCAGGCGTCTTTCTATACCACCCGATGTAAGCAATACTATTGATGAATACAGAAAATCAAAACAAGTTTATCTTAATCTTGTATTTTGCCTTTAAGACTTAATATTCCATGAGTAGAGGTTGACAATGAACAGATGAGCAGGAAGGGAAGAAATCTTTGAAAAAACTCTGTATTTGATGGAATGCAAGCACGTCCAGTGGTGAGGTACTTCCTATCTGGCAAACAGATATGCTGAGACCAGACCTCTGAAATAAGGTTAATCGCTGGAAGAAATTGGTTAGCTACTGTATGAAGATCAGGGCAAGCACTGATGATACTGGCAACACACCCCCCCCGCTTGCAAGTTAGTATATGAATACTACAGATTCAAACTGTCAATGCAAATCTCATTTCCATTTCATGCATTCTGACTACTATCACAAATGCATTAGATTTTAGTGTGCGTACTTTCCTTATTAATCCTTCTTCTTAAGAAAAGCCACAAACGGTGCACTTCGGAGGGGTGGGGAAGAAAGGGAGGGACAGAGGGCTGGAGATAAAAAAAAGAAATCTAAATTTACTTTCTTCTCTTTTTAAATCTGTATTTTTGTGATGGATAGGGTTTCCAGTTTTAGTTTGCTTTGGAGGTGTTTCAAGAGACTTCAACTGGAAATAGACAACAGTTTTACAGTACTGAAAAGTTCCTGAAGAAAAAAGGTGCTAAGAGTAAAATATCAGCACAAACATTCTGAGGACACATTGGGACTATAGGTTTCACAAGCCTGTGATATGTTGAAGTGAAAGAAAAGTATTTCTAAAAAAATAACACACACACCCCCATATAAACAAACCCACCACTTCCCTCTTATGTACCTGAAGAGCCATTTTGTATTTAAAAACAATGAATAAACAAGAACAAAACCAAAGTATAAGTAAACTGGAAGCCCTACTGTTTTTTTACAGCAATGCAGATAAATTGCATGTACTGTATGGGTCTTTTGTGTCTTAGGGTTCTGCTGATTTGAAAAAACTGCTATCACCTTCTATATCACTAAATGTCAACCGAACCCAGAGATTAAAAAAAACATGACCTTTTGTATATAGTACAACCTTCTTTGTATACTTACATGGGCTTTAATACTAACAACTACTGTATTTTTATTTATTAAAATGCTTGAAAATATATAATGCATAAAATAAGATACTTAAATACAATTCTGTTTAGAAAGAAGCATCCATTCTATCATCTACTTATTAAAGTTATGTGAAAAAGAGCTAGTCATCACACAGATTTCTAATTCTTTATACCTCTGTTTATTTATTCTGGTTTGGTTTTCAACAGTAACCTTGCCTATTTTGTCCAGATCACCTACACATACTTAATTTACACTCACCACCTACTGCACATAAGCAATCTTAATGAATTTTATGAAAGTGTAATCAAAGAGTTCACTACTTTTATAAGCCATAATAAAAATTCCAAACACAGCATGTAGCTTGGATTAAGTTTTGATTTCTCTGTTCCACTCCACCCAAGGCTATGTCTTTTTGCTAAGTTCATCTTACACACACTGATAGTGAGTAAAGAAAGCAAGACAGGCAACAATCTGGTATTGCTCTTTCTCCAGAAAAACAAATGACGAGCTTCCATGGCAATTTTACACTGGGAAAGAGCTGAATCAGGAACAAGAATATGTCTGTTTTAAAGATGTACCTCCTCAGCCAGCTCTTCAGCAAAAACTGATACATCTACCCATTTTTCTCCTGGTGAAGACATAAGCCATTTCAGAGTTGAAATTTCATTCTGATTAAGACTAGTCAGTAAGGCATTTTAGAGGTCTGGAGGTGCTTGCATTTCTTTAATAACTTTTCTGCATGTATTTAGCAACAACTACCCTTCCTAGCAGAACTGAACCACTCAGCGGACAGACAAGTGTGAAATAGGCTTAAACAAAATTGTTCACAAAACATGCACAAAGTGTTTGTCCTCAGCATAAAGAACTTTTATGTAAGTTCTGCTACAATTACACACAGAACAATAATTGTGTCAGACATACACATTTATGGCTAAGAGGTACTTTACCTATATTCTCTCTGCCAAAACCAGAACACAGTCATGAACACATTCATTTAGAGAATACTCTAGTTCATATCTGGAAGCATACTAACATACTATAGATTACAGACCAGATACCTGTATTTGTATGGCTATTAATAAATAGTGTCTGTCAGAATACAATTAGAAAACATTCGTGAATTCCTACAACATGCAGAGATATATTTTATTTAAACAACAAATGTAGTCCTTTTAGCTTTGACCTAGATGTTAAAAATGGAAAAAAACAAACCAACCAACCTCTTTTGGTTACGGGAGGAGACGAGTAAACACCTCTTGTTCATTGCAAGGACTAAGAACATATTTGTAAGGGTTCCTTCAAAAACTGATGCTCATCTCAGTAAGAACCCTCGTAATTTAAATTATTTAAAACAGGCCCTAGATTTATTGTAATATTTGACAGTTAGTTTAGGCAAGCTGATTGCTTTATAAGCCCATTATATTTTTTTTAAGATAAAAAAATGCCAAAAGTTCCATTTTTGTATGAAATACAAAACTGTAAAACACTGCCCTCTTGTGATCTTCCCTAAAAACTGAGCTGGTTATTAAAAGGAAGTTTTGGCAACATTTCACTGTTAGGACTGAGTGGTCCTATTTGTTTCTTTTAGATAGTTATATATATATTTCTATATATAAAACACAATTGCTAAGTTATTAATACTATCTTAAAATAAGCTATTGCGTATGTGCTATTAAAAGCACTAAGGATGCATCCTCTGCCAGCCCAGTCTAGATTCTTAATAAGGCATTTGCAAAGCTGACATGAATCCTACACAGCACACCACTGGCAAAACGCTACCTCTGCACTGCATGATGCCAAACCCTAGAAGGGTAGGAAACGCTCCTGTTAACAGAGGTACATTTTGCCCAGATGAGAAAGCTTTCTCTTTTTTTGCACCTGCAGCAATCTTCTTTTAAAAGTAAATTTTCAATAATCTATTGCTGAAACAGAGCAAGTCTTGAGAACAGCCATTCTTTTGCAAATCAACTGGACCTGGAGTACCGACACACATTAAAAAAAGTAAATAAAGAGCCAAACTGTGTAAAATTCAAGTCCTTTCTCCATCAATCAGTTCTTCACAAGTTCTTCAGTGGTATAATGAAAGCTATCATTAACTTTGTTTTTCTTAATTTATTTTTAAGGTATTTGGGGGAAAAAGGGCTTGTAGGAGCATCCAGATTCCTTTTTTTGGAAAATAAAAAAATGTAAACAAACATTTTTTTCTTAAGTGGCAGAAACTAAAACCAGTTAAACAGCTAAGGACACAATGAAACTCACGTGAATCTATATTGCTTACTATTGAAGGAGCAACCCAAAGCTACAATCAAGAGCCTGCTGCAAGCACAAGAGACGGATGCCCATTATGGATCTTGCTAACAACAGAGGTCTCAACCTGCTACTCAATTTTCTGCTTATTGTCTTGGTTCTGGTGCTCGCATTTATCCTTGTGAAGCTGATGTGAGCCTCCATGAGGCTCCGTTTCCTTCTCAGATCTTGTTTTGAGGGTTTTGCAATGATAACATAGACACTTAAAACTATCTGAACAAAAATACACAAAGACTGCGTACCGAAACATCTGATAGTTAGAAAAGGGTTCGCATA